CTGGAAATTCCATAAAATGTATTGGTTAATTATAATAGACTGAAATTTCCGGAAAATTAGATAAATTTGCGAAAGTATGCCAAGTTTACATTTACCCTAAATTTATTGAAATGCAATTCAGATATTCAAGACATTCAAAGTGCTTATAGGGTTCAAGGCGGTGAATAACAAGATATTAATGAGAAACACGAATACATATGATTGATGCTCATTAATTTCAAAAAAAAAAACATTTGGTTTTTGAGTGTTGCGCAGTTCTTAGTTAAGTTCCTCATCCAGTTCTGTGCGCGACCGTAAATGAATAGTGTGCTTCATTAACAGCAGAGATCGCCTCAGAGTTAAGTATCCCCCCCTCCCACAACCCACCCATCGCCCGCTTCCAGTGGACTCCTTTGCTGTTAAAATGATCTTCAATCAAGAGCACATCTGTTAAACTTGCGATTTAGTGTAAGAGCAAAAGGAAGTAAGATGTGAAAACTTAACAAGACTCTGAAAGGTCAAATAATTCTGCTAGGGAGAGGGCCCCAGCGTGCGCTATTAAGGATTTTACGAAGGGATGAGAGGACAATTAAAAGAGGAAAAATGCATTAGAGGGGAAAAAAACGGAAAAACGGAAAAAACAGAAGTGGTATGTAGTTGGAGCACCTCCTATCATTCAGCAGTAAACAATGTGTATAATTCCTACACCAAAGAAGTCTTGAACGTATATGCGGTCTGCATCGACAGTAATTTCATTTGTCGCTACGATAAGTTGCAATAGGTAAAACCCTACGTCCCAGCAGGAAAGAGCTTCCCCAAAATATGAACCGGAAGCATTCGGGGTTGAAAGTGGTGTTGATGACTTACTATCAATCTGTCCAATGGGAATATTTTTCAAAGAAATAATGGGAAAAGTGGCCTTTCCGTAGAGATCAGGTAGTGCCGCTGGAAGAGCATATGCAAGTCCAATACGATCCATTTCATGGAATAATTCGATTCGAAATGCCTATAAAAAGGTTACAGCAACTGATCGGGATTGCTTGGAGCTTGAAGGAGAACTACAAACTATAAAACAAAAAATCCACTAGTCTAGATATCGGGGAAGAAGAAAGCAAACTTTTTGTTAGATTATATATGAGATGTCCAAAACATGTGATCATCGTTTCATAATTAATATATCTTTACCCGAGTCTTTTCTAAAACTCTTTTAATTCGAACGACTAGCTTGAATATAAATTTCTATTTCCTATAAAACAATTCTTACCTCTTCCCAACGATAGGATAACTTCAAAAAATTGTATGCTGCTTCAGCGTTGGCGCGAAACACTAATGGCAATTTTTCAAGATAGTTCTAAGAACGCCAGACACATATGTTGAGATTATTAATAATTTGAGCCCATTCACGACAATCACGTAATACCGAAAGGTTTTGTAAAAAGGTTGCGACAAGTGCTTTATGGCGGCTGAAAGTCACACACATAACTTCAGCTCCAAAAAATATCGCTATTGAAAGAGAATTTTAATCCGTTTCCGAGCTTCAATCTTATTCAAAGCTGCTCCTTTAAAATGATTTATTGAAGCCTAAAAGATTTGAAAATAACGGTGTAATTGGCTCCAAAACACTGATCACACAATTTTTTGGGACACTTCACATTGGTAAAAAGACGAAACGCTCACCAAATGCTCTAGCGAGACTGTGTGAGTTTTAAAAATGAGGTAATCAATTTTATTCCGGAATACCGAACCATTGACATATTGCTGACCAAAAATAGGATCCTCTCTGCTTAGTACCTAAACTTTCAATCAAAACCATTCACAAGAGTGCCTTATACTTTTAGGAGTTCACCGATAGCTGAGTGTTGGAAAAACTGGGCACGTCGGGCAGCACGGGATCAGTATCCGGAAAAGCATCGTCATCCACGCTTTCTTGCTAAACAGGTTGATTAAGCAGTTAAGCCTAACGGTGGAGAAATTCTTGGCACGACGACAACACTGGCACCATGAAGCACATGCATAGACGTTTCAGAGTTTAAAAAGGAAAGCTCATGCTCATGGAGGACGTAACAAAAAGCTATCCTCTACATTGCGCGAACAAGAACACTATTTAATGTGCAAAGCATGTGATAGATGGTAGAATACAGTGTTTTGGTAGACAGAGGATGCCCTCCACAGCATGCCCTTACGTGTATGGCGATCCTCGTATGAAAAGATCTGGAACGCGCACCTTTTACGAGATTTGGAAGGGGATGGAGGACATGTACATAGGACACTGTCTTTCTTTCTGGCCACATTTCAATCCATCCAACAAAGACAAGATTAATTTTCTGCGAGTTTTTATCCTAAATTAAATTCCTGCTTGCAGAATTTTACCTCTTTGAAGCGCACGTCGAACGGTACAACTTTTACTCGATGCTCTTTACCTTTGTGGGAATTTTTATAGAACTTCAGTGCCTGAAAACATTCTTTTGAGATGTTGTTTCTATGAAAAGTTCTTTGATGGTACCTCACTATGGACTCGGAGCAGTACGACATTTTCCTCATTATGGATTATCCATCCATCTGATACTAGGCAATTACCAGCTAAAGTAGGTTTTGAAGCTTCGCACAATCAAGTGTTTGCTAAGAATTTCCATCACCATAATTTCCGAACATATCGTCTACAGCAGAGTTCTGATTATTCAATAACTGCATAGATCGTGGTAATAAGAAGGATTCCCATCTGTAAAAAAGA